GGCCAGCTCAGCCCACCAGGGGGCGGGGCTGGCTGGCATGTGGTGCTGGGGGATTGAACCGCGGTCCCTGTGCTTTGCTTAGTTTAGCTTGTTCTAAGTAGGTGCTTTAGACCACTGAGCCATCTCACCAGCCCCTGAACTCAGCATTTCCAGGAAGATGTAACACAAGTATCTATACTGTACATTTCCCCCTATTGGCAGGTTGCTGATCAATTGCATATGTGAAACACTCAAGGAAAATCATTACTTAGGATGAAGTTTGCACTCAATAAGTGTTGATACCTTACTGATTGCTTTCACTACTAATGACTTGTTTCACCAGAAATCATTGGCCTATGAAAGAGTCAATACAGAAACTGAATATTAATACAATTGGGAAAAAATACAGAAAAAGCTGTTCTATGGTTAACCAGCACCCCTGAGGTGTCTGCTGCTGCGAGGCAAGGCACAGCTCTGGGGATACTTGGTGCATGTCCATCCCCTTGTCCCCCAATGCATATCTTCTCTCCTTCTCCCCCAGGTGGGTCGTGACAAGCCCTGCCTGGGCTGAAGAGTGCGGAGGATGGAAACACGCACCCAGCAATGTCTCTGGGCCGCCTCCTTCGCCGAGCCTCCTCCAAAGCCTCGGATCTCCTGACCCTCACCCCTGGCGGCAGTGGTGGGTCTCCCTCTGTCCTCGATGGGGAGATCATTTACTCCAAGAACAATGTGTGTGTGCACCCGCCCGAGGGCCTGCAGGGGCTTGGGGAGCATCATCCAGGTGAGCCGAGGAGGAGCAGCTGCAGGGTGCCGGCCTGGGACGGGAGCCCCAAGGATACTGCCCATAGGAGAGGAGACCCCCATGGTCAAAGGCCCAGGGACAGAGGCTAGTAGGCAGGAATTCCCAGAAACCACAGGTCCTGTTTTTCCTCCACCCACATGTGGGAATCGGGGAGCAGAATTCTCCGTGAGCTTTGCAAGGTGGAGGTAACAAGAGGAACTTTCCAGACTCTCTGTGGTGGGGCTCTGTCACCTGTGACACTCTTTCTCCTGTGCATTTGTCAACTCCAGCAGAGCTACAGAGAAGGACACTGTCCTGTTTTGCATTTGACAGGGCCAGGCTGTGCTTGAAGTTGGGGGGATTAAAAGGCATAACCCATAGCACATAAAGAAGGAGACAGTGTTTCTTTTTCCAGGATGAGTAGCTGTCCCCACAGAATGGGGTCTGGGTACTAGGTCAGCTTACTGGAGCTCAGTAGAGCTCTGGTAGGTGAGAACAGGTGTTCAGAGAGGCCGAGCAGCTCGGAGATGCACAGCACCCATCCCTCTTCCCCTGTGGCCTGCAGCTGCCCCCTGTCTAGGCAGCCACCCTGTGAGCTGGGGGCCAGCATCCTGGCCTGTGGAGGGGGCTACAGCAGCCTCATTGACCCCGTGTGGTCTCAGCTCATAGAGAAACAAATGGACATCCAGGCTTTGAGTTTGAGGCTTGAGAGCACCTTCTGGGCATAAAACAGAAAGAATAGCTGTGCCCAGGGAGTTCCGTAGGGCATCCATGCTGTGATGTGATGGACAGCTCTGGTCTCCCTCCCAGAAGCCAGGTGCAAGAATACCGATCTCATCTAGGACTCTTATCACGCTGGCTGACATCCACATGTGTCCTGTGCTCTCTGGGAAGCCAGAGTGGTGTCGTGGAGATGCTGACTGGAGCTAGAATCCCAAGGGGTGTGATTAGGGGTGCAGGCTTCTGCCAGTGGGTGTGCAGAGGCCTGGAATGGAGTGCCGTAGCCCAGGGACTGAGATACCGCAAAGCACTTGAAGGTGCAGCAGCAAACACCATTTCCCCCTAAAACCAGGGACTCAGCCTCTCACCCCTGGTGTTGGAGAACTTGTTCCTCTCCATCCCAGTTAGCAGTGGGCATGTGATGCGGCACTCATAGCAGCCTCAGAACCTGGCTCCTTTGTCCAAAACACTGTACTTCAAAAGAGAAAGACCTGGGGTACCAGGGCTGCCCAGAGAGCTCTGCATACCACACCCCTTGGATCCATTCTTTTTTTTTTTTTCTTGGATCCATTCTTATAAAATCAAGTCTCCAACCTGGTGCGTCCCCTCCTTGGGGGATGCTGGTTTCCAGAGCTTTCTGGGCTTCCCTATTGGCCTGGGCTCGCACAGGCATGAAGATCACATGCCAGGCAGGCCAGGGCAGCAGGTGAGAGCAGACAGCCCGAGGCCCTGAACCTAGGGAGCTCTCTCTTGGGGAAAAGTTCAGGGAGGTGCCGCTTGGCTGCTGCCCCCAGAGCTGCGCTTGGAAAATGCCCATGGTGGGGTTCTGCACCAGACTCTGCCTGGGCCCTTTTAGCTCAAGGCCATTCTGTCTGGAGCCTGCTCAGTGTTGACCGTGCTGAGGGGGCCGTCCATGGGAACAGAGCCTCCGCAGCCCCCATAGTCCCTCTAACCCTGGCCTGCTGCTTCCCACAGGGTACCTGTGCTTGTACATGGAGAAGGACGAATTGCTGGGCACCACCCTCATCCTGGCGTGGGTCCCCAACGCCCGCATCCAGAGGCAGGACGAGGAGGCCCTGCGCTACATCACCCCTGAGAGCTCCCCCGTGCGCAAGGCACCACGCCCTCGGCGCCACCGCACCCTGAGCGCCGGTGTCCCCCGCCAGGCCTCCCCTGTGGAGCCAAGGCCCGCCCTGATCCCCAAAGATGAGGACATCCTGGTGGTGGCCCAGACTGTCCAGGATGCTGTGCATATCAGCCCTTCTCCTGAGGACGGGGAGAAGCCGGCCCAGGGCCCTGGGGTGGACAGTCCCCTCCCTGCCTCACAGCCTGTCCACAGCGACTCCGGGATCTTGTCTACAGTCAGTTCGCAGGATGGGACGGAGGAGGGCCGGGAGGCTCGGCCCGAGGCTGGGGAGGAGGAAGGCTCCCTGGAGCTGTCTACGGATGGTGTGAGCAGGGACAGCTCCTTCGACTCTGACTCAGATGCCTTCTCCTCGCCCTTCTGCCTGTCGCCCATCAGCGCGGCCCTGGTGGAGGGCAGCAGCTCGGCATTCCTGGAGAGCGAGGGCAGGTGAGTTCCCACGCGGGGCCCCACATCCACCTGGGAAGCAGATGCACGTGTCCCCACAGTGCCGGGCAGCACAGTAGCTGCTCAGCTGCTCACCTAGTCCTGCCATTCCTGTGGGCTCCCGACCCCATGGTATGGGCCAGGAGTTGGGGTGCCATGACTTGCCACTGGGCCAGTGATACAGGATGTACACCTGGCTCTGTATCTGTCTCTCTTTGTGGAAGCCGCACGCCAGACTGAACAGCCCCTACCTAGTCTGCCCACCTCCTGGATCTGACACTCCTGGAGAGTCCTGGAATGTTGGTTCTCCCTTTGGCAAGTGCCTGAGAGAACTGGTGGCCCTGCAAAGCATGCAGCACTGGCTGGAGGTTGTTCTTGCCGCAGTGCTTGGTCCCCAGCCAGGCCCCATGGGGACTTCTGGCACCAGCCACTGTAGAGGTGGGAAGGTGGCCCCATGGGGCTCCCTGGCGGTGCACTTCACAGCACAGGTTGTGCTTTGGGGGCGGGAGTTCCCCACACCTTACAGGGGCTTCCCTGGGCCTTGGAGCCCAAGGAAGCCACTCAGCAGGGAGTGTGGTCATTACCACCACTGCCCAGTGTCTTCAGGGTCCCACAGGAGGTGGCATGTGCCCCGCCTAGCCGTGTCTGTCCCTGTCCTTTGTCGGTTCAGAATGTGATCCTGTGCTCATTCAATTTAGCAACATTGGTGGTACTGACTGCGTTGGTTAATGGTGTGAACTCACGGGTCAGCGAGACACATGCAGGATATCCACCAGGTGCTGGGCATCTCTAGTAGGTTGTGGATTTGTATGGATGGAGAAAGGGTGGCTTGGAAGAGGTGAGCGACTTGCTGGAGGTCATCAGCAAGCCAAGCGCAGGTTTGGACTCAGCTGGGTCCCCACCTGCCAAGGCTGGAGCACACGTGTCCACTCTGCGCTGATAGAAGCCAGGCAGCAAAGGGCAGTGCTGAGGGACACCTGTGCTTTTCTGGCTCCCCCAGGAAGGAGTCTGAGATGGATTCTTTCCTGATTTTATCGTCTCAGTAGCCTGTGATCCATATGAGCCCAGGGCAGACCAGTAACACTTGTTTCCAGTAGTTGAGAGCACAGATGAAGGAAGCAGTCAGCCATAGTGAGGAGCCAGCTCCCCACCCAGCGTCGCTGAGGCCCGCGGTGTTCCCATCTTGCACCCCACCCCCAGCCCTCCAGCGGGCTCCGCTAGAGCGCCTCCTGGTGGTGCGACGCTGGTAATGCAGCAGTCCCTGCAGGGTCCAGACCTTCTTGGGCCCCAACCGGGCTGAGGGATAGGTGGGGGTCCCCTGCTTATCCCTTTCCTCTCCCCAGGAGGTGCTAGCTGAGTCTGCTCTGATCTCAGGGTTGAGGATGGTGTGGCAGAACTTGCTTGGTTCTCTGTCCAGTATTCCTGTCTATCAGGACTCGGATCTGGGAGTTCAGGAGCTGCGTGCTGATTGAGTCTTGGTACCTGTGGTTGGTGTGAACCCGGGAGTCTTCCTTCTCTTCCTGGGGTTCCTGTTTCCCCACTGTAAGGTGGGGGTGGTGATGTCCATTTTATGGGGTCATTATGGGACACAGTGTCCTCCATGGTGGCCCTCACCCTGATTGCATCTGGGCTCATCTCATGGAGAGCCCAAGCCTGCTTTCCAGCTGTCACCGGATGCTTCCAAGGCAGCGATCCTGCTTGGGGCTGCCTCAGCCCCCAGGGGACACTTGCCACCCTGGGAGAAGGGTTCATCACAGCAGACAGGGATGTTGGTAGCCTGGGTGGAGGCTGTGGCTGCTGCTGGAAGCTCTGGTAGCCCTGGGGTCTGCTGAGCAGCCTCCCCCCCACCCCCAGGGCTCATGCTTTTTGTTCTGGGCTCACCCTGGACCTGGTGCTCTCTCTGCTACTGGTCTTTGGGCGGGTCCCCTTTGCCAGGGCTTCCCCTCCCCTCTCCTAACCAGCCAGCTAAAGTGTGAGACTCAGCCCAGATGGGGCCATTGTGTCTGGATTTTCAGGTGCCCTTCCAGCCCCCCAAAGCAAGGCGGGGACTCTTTCCCTGCCCCATACTGTTCCTCCGTGGGATCCTTCCTAGGATGCCAGGCTGCACACCTGGCTGCTGCTGAGAGTGAACTTCAGCACCTTGAAGATCTGCCTTAAACCCTGGCTTCACCTGTGTGGTTATGGGACCTCTTGTGTTTGGCCTTCAGCTATCTCCTGATATAAAATATGACCCAGAATCCCTGCGGGCGTAAGAGTTGCATGCCAGGCTGGACCTTGTGGTCTGCAGGCCTGGCCCAAGAGCTGGGCAGTGGCCACGTCCTCCCATCCCTGCTCACACGAAGGCATAGGAACACTCACTCAGGAAGCAGTCATCATGAGTGCTGCCTACCCTTTGGCCTCTCCACCTCAGGACCACAAATGTGTCCACAGACACTGCCCCTCACATTCGTATCAGGCAGCGCAGGTGCATTGGTCCATTTTCTTTTGCTTTGACACAACACCTCAAGTTGAGTACAGTCAAGAAAACAGGTGTATTTAGCTTACAGTATTAAAAGCTTAATGTCCAAGGTTGGATGGCCGCATAGATTTGGCTGTGGCGAGAGCCCTGTATCCCACAGCAAAGGGGGCTCACACAGCGACTCAGGCCGGAGCGCAGGAAGGGGCCATGAGTGGGTTTAAGGTTTTGCAGTTCTGTAGGTTAAATCCGCGGCCTTTGCCTTGAGCTACATTCCCAGCACCTTGCCCTTTAATTTTAAATTTTAATACAACTATGATTGGGACAGAACAAGCTGTCTCCCATCAGAAGTGCAGGGTGTCAAGCCCTGTGAGACCCACCCTGCATGACCGGCTGCTGAATGCTTATTTTACAGAGCAGATGTTGTGAGGCCCTGGGTTCGATCCCCAGCACTAGATTAAAAAATGGCAGCTGTGGCTTCAAAAAACGGCTGGGCCCTAAAGTCTGCATTTCCTGTTGGCACACCCTGGCCGCCTGACGCGACTAGAAATCCTTCCCTGAAAGGTTGTTTCTTCTGGATCCCCAGGGCATCTTTGAAAGCTCCAGAGTCATGGCCTGGGGCGAACACATCTGCTTTGAACTCGCCAAGGGTTTAGGGCCGTGGTGGCGAATACGGGGCACGCGTGCCGCAGCGGGCACGGAGCGCCCCCTCTGCCAACACTCAGCATCGCCCCCGCCGCAGAGCCTGAAACAAGAGCTTAGCGTTGCCACAGTAAATACGTGGGTTTGAGGTTGTAGTTTGGGCACTCGGTCTAAGGTTCGCCATCACAGGTGTAGTACCCGCCGCGGACGTGAGAAGGACCTCTGTGAAAGCCTAAAGGGAGAAGGGCCCTGTGAGCTGAACGGGAGGAGCATCAGATTGAGATCCGTGGGGCTGGATCGGGATTAGGACCACTGCGCCCCCGGGCTCTACGCCTGCCCAGGGCAGCAGGGCAGGGCAGGGAGGTCGGCTCGCGGGCTCCCTCTAGTGGCAATACTGAAGAACTACAGGGACAGACTGCCGAGCCGGTGGGGGCGGGGATGGGGTGGGGGTGGAGGTGGAGGTAGGAAGAACAACCCCAGGGATGGGAGTATCCCCCAAGCTTCTTATTTGACAAGCAGTTCCCAGAAGGGCTGAGTGGTTAGAAATGTGATCATGTCCCCTGGGGTCTCCACGTTTGTGGGTTACCTGTGGGGTACAGCGGGGCCGTGCCACCTGGCAAGCCCAGATGGGTCCGTGCATCGAAATCTGAGACCAGAGGAGTGCTCCAGCCTGTCTAGGGCAGCCACTGACAATTCGTGGCCTGGGCCCATCTCCCCCAAGGCCTTGTGATTCCCCTGGGCCAGGCCTTTCGGTGGGCTCAGCCCCTGCCTCATCCAGGGTCAGAGCTGAGATGCAAAGGATCAGTGTGGAGTGCATGGACACAGGAGCCTTTGTGGCAGGAGGGGACAAGCTGGGTGAGCTGGGTGAACAACAGCCATGCAACCGTTCTTCTCTGAAGTCCAGATACTTTTTCTGGAGCTCGTCTTAAGTAGGGTCCCAAATTACTGAAAGAAAAACAAAAAACTGCACAAAGATGTTCACTGTAGTGTTCTTTACAGCAGGCAAAAGGAATACTATCTTACACAGGAGAGCAGGTGGCAGGTGACCAAGCCTCACCCCCCTGGGGGAACAGTTCCAGCCTTCTAGCCCTCGGAGGGCAGTAGGCTCCTGGGGTGAATTCGAGTGGAGATTAAGCACCGGGGAGGGTGCACCATCTGCCTTCGAGAGGGTCTGTGGCCCCCAGGCTCAACCTGGGCAGCACAGAAAGTGTGGTAGCATAGTGCAGTTAGGAGGCTGCCCGTACAGGCTGGCCTCTTGAACTTATAGGGATCCTCCTGCCTCAGCCTCCCAGCTGCTGAGATTACAGCTGTGTACTATGGTACCTGGTGGGGGATCTTTGAATTTTAAGCATTTTATTTTGTGATTATAATAATATGAATCTTGCAATGAAAATCAACTTTCAACACTTTTTTCAGCCTTTGCACTGAGCTACATCCCCAGCCCCTTCTTAAAAAATTATCTTGAAACAGGATCTCACTAGGCTCATTTGCCCAAGCTGGTCATGAACCCCAACCTCCTAGAGTGCTGGGATTCCAGACATGCGCCACCACACGTGGGGACTTTTGAAAACTGTTCACCCTGCACTCTTAGGGCTGGCTCAGCCTTGTCTGCTGTCTGGCACATTTGTTAATGAAAAAGCCCCCGGAGACCCATGCTGATGACCCGCCAACTCTGATCCTAGCCAATGTCAGTGCGGCATCCTTTCTGCTACAGATCCCCTTGTCACCTTGAGTGGCCATCCCAAGGCTGCTGGCCCCAGGGAGGGTACTTGGGGGCTCCACAGGGTCCTGGAGCCTCAACTGCTGCATGCAGCTCTTTCTGCAGATCTGAGGTACGCGTTCCTGCAGTCATACAGCCCAGCCCCACCCTGCCTTCCCTCCCTACCCTCTGGGTGCCGTCCAGGTC